TCTCTCTCTCTCTCTCTCTCTCTCTCTCTCTCTCTCTCTCTCTCTCTGTGTGTGTGTGTGTGTGTGTGTGTGTGTGTGTGTGTGTGTGCGTGTGCATGCAGATGCTAGGGGACAAGATTGGTTTTCATCCTCAAATCACTGATCTCCTTCGAGACAGGGTCTTTCACTGACCCAGCCTACTTAGATAGGGACCACTGGTGCCCAGGTATCTTCCTGTCTCTGTTTCATTAGTACTTGGATTACAGGCATAGATCATGATGCCCAAGGTTGGTTTTTGTTTGTGTGTTTTGTTTTTATTGTGTGTGTTGTGGAATTGAAATCAGGTCTTCATGCTTGTAGTTAAACACGTTATTAACTAATCTATCTCCCTAGGCCCCTATAACACTAATTTTTAAGTTTATTATTTTAGATGAGTGAATCTTTAAAAGATTATCATCCCTTTTCTACAAGGGATGTGATAATTTTAAAAGCAGTGTACATTTCTAAAAATGTTCTTGCGTTGAAAATTTTATTTTCAATTGTTATGTGGTATGTGATCATTATTGTACCCTGAGTTTCTAGGCAGAAAGGAATAGATAGTTGAATGAACTCAAAGTTACTAAGTAAACACAATATTCAAGACTCTTTAGAGAAATCAGCATGATAAAGTGTAATATTTCCTTGGTGTAAAAGTACTTCATTTTAGGAAAATTACTGTAGCTGAGGGATTTTTGTTCTTAAAATTTAAGAAACATATGACCTGTCCAAGATGAATATTATTAGAACCCAACTATACATGAATATTTAAACATTTTATAAGAAGAAAGTTTTATGGATTAAAGTTGCTATGTCACCTGCAATGTAACCTCAGCCATTATTTTGTTTAAGACTCTGAAATCTTTTGAACAGTGTATTAAATCAGTTCTCACCTGGGAAGACTGATACATTAATTGTCATTTTGTTACATAGTAATCTTAAACCTAGGCTGAAAATGTAGCTTGATTGCAACACAAATCATAAAAGGTCTTATTAATCAAAAACCTGGAGCCAGATATTGGAGTGAAAGCTGAAAGATCAGAGAAGCAGAAAGAAGCCAGCCACGTTATTACCTCTACAAAATCCTCAGCTTCAAGAGAGAGAGAGAGAGAGAGAGAGAGAGAGAGAGAGAGAGAGAGAGAGAGAGAGAGAGAGAGAGAGAGAGATCCTGTTTCCTCACGCCTTATATACCTTTCTGTGTCCTGCCATATTACTTCCTGGGATTAAAGGCATGTGTTCTTCCCAAGCAAAGACATGAGATCTCAAGTGCTGGGATTATAGATGTGTGCCACCATGCCTTGCTCTGTTCCCAGTGTGGCCTTCAACTAACAGAGATTCAGATGAATCTCTGCCTCCCAAGTGATAGGATTAAGGGTGTGTGCCACCACTATCTGGCCTCTGTGTCTAATCTAATGGCTGGCTCTGTTCTCTGATTCCCAGATAAGTTTATTAGGGTACACAATATACCACCACACTCTTTGGCTAGAGTACTCACATAGGGAGAAAGCTTTGAGTTTAATTCCTGATGTGGAAAAAAATCTCCAAACTTAAGTCTCATGTTAGGTGTATATTTTACCAAAGAGATCTGAGGATTAAAAATGTTAATTTGGTTGTTTGAAGCTCATGTATAATTTCATGTCTATGCATAATAATTGTGAACAAACCATTCATTTTAAGCATTTATGGGCATCAGCCAGATGCTGTGATGAAAAAGTCAACCTATTTGCTTTATGACAATTGTGACTATGCCAAAATTTCTTCAGTCATTTTGAATTTTAAATTAATCACTAATGTTACCAGCATAAACAGTAGCATGAAGAAGTTGTTTGACTTATCTGAAACCTAAAATGTATTATATAAATAATTTTAAAATAGCACTTTATATCATTTGCTTTTAATAAACTCACAGAAATAATGCAATCAAGGACACATTTAATTGTATAGGAATATTACTGCATGAAAATGTGTCAAAGTTAGTATTATAGCATTTTAATACCTTACTTTATTAAAATAGCTTGATATACATGTATGAGACTGAGATGATTGCCTGGAGTAATTAACCTGCAATATAATTAATAATGTTTTTCAAATGATTAATAAGAAGCAGAAGATATTTTTATTTGCTGACTTCCACCTTTTATAAAGATAATGCCTATACCTGGCAATGGTGGCCAGGATTTTCCTCACAGGACTCTGTTATACACCTGTGCGTTTCTTTCATGAAATTGGAACTTACCTTCCTGACTCAAAGGTGAACCACGTTGAATCCCGACCATATCTTCTTAGTGAGCTAAGAGGCCACATCACCAACTTGACCTTGGCATTGTGGATATCCCAGAGATAGATATTCTCATGAGTAATCTGCATTGTGCATTCACCATAAATATCCAGGTTGGGTGTAGGCATAAGATAGACATTGAATCGTTCTACAAAGAAATAAAAAGCATGGGGAAATTCAATGAAGTGTTCTCACAGTCTTTGACAACATTGATGTACACTGCAAAATACTATTTTTTGAAGAAGTTCACTAAACTATCATCACTCATTCGTTTACTCTCTCATTGCACAATGCTATATTGTACACAGTTCTATAGTGAAGATTGCACATTGATTAAACTGTACCATTGAAACAGAGTAATAGCTAAGTAGAGTCTTTCCACATGATGCTTATTCTGCTTCTTCAGTCAAGTGGTTATCATAAACACAACCTTTTCAAGAATTGTCTTATTTATTTAAGAATTAATACTGAATCCCTCTTCTCCCTCTTTAACTGGACTCCTGGAGCTTGACCTGGTGCTTGGCTGTGGATCTCTGCATCTGCTTCCATCAGTTACGGGATGAAGGCTCTATGATGACAGTTAGGGTATTAACTGATCTGTTTACCTGGGGTAAGCCAGGTCAGGCACCCTCTCTACTATTGCTAATAGTCATGAGCTAGCTTTTTGGAGCCTATTACTTATGGTGGGACAATTTGCACAGCCTTGATGTGTGGGGAGGGGCTTGGATCTGCCTCTACTGAATATACCAGGCTCTGCTGACTCCCCATGGGAGGCCATACGTTGTTGGAGGAATGAATGGGGATTGTTTTTGAGGGGGGAGCCTGGTGGGGTGGGAAGAGGGGTATCTGTGGTTGGTATGCAAAATGAATAAAAAAATCCCTTAATTAAAAAAAAACCCAATAAATACTGAATCAATCTCACCTTTGTGACCTGAAGTATTTTATGTACAATTAGAGTGATTCCCTAACTCCACAGGGACTGCAAAATTATCCAGTGTACATGTAAAAACAATGTAGTCAGGGTCAGAGTTGGCATACAGTAATTGTAGATAGTCATTACTGCCTTCTACAAAACTTGAGACATGCCCTTGGTAAGCAATCTAAAGATATATAATTTCTTTCACTCTGGTATATTTACAGTTGAAAATCCTACTATTAGGCAGTAACTCTAAACCTTGCTTTGTAATTTTCTGTGCATCTCCAAGGCTATTGCAAAGTTTTGCAGCCTTTGATTCCCATTTAAATGCATTGAGTGCACTTTGAGAAACAAGGGTTTGTAAGTTCCAGGAAGTAAAGAACCTATAAAGTGCTGAATAAAATAAGTGTGCTTCCTAGCACCATATCCCTGGTTTATAGTAAGTAATCAATATCTATCTGTGAAGACATATGAATAAAGACAAATACATAATGAATGGAAGATGTGAAAATTGAGGCATACTGAAAAATAACATCATGATAAGAAGTTTAAGAATTACTGGCAAGGTCTCTGTACATTATAACTTAATTGTGGAGAGTGCTGAAGAGGCAGTGTGGTTGAATTAATTATTTTAAAAAGCACACTGAGGCAGCTGCAGTAAGAAGACACATTTTGAAATGTGTTGCTATCCATCATAACGCCATGTTCTTAAATACTGAATGCTTGCTGGTGCTCAGTGGGAATTGTCTGGATAATAAGAATTTTTCTGGCAGGTATTTCATCAAGTAAGGATTCTGTGAGTCAAAGAACATTATTCAGATTCCAAGGTGTTAAATTAACTTAAGCATGAAGGCTTGAACATTGATAGCCACATGGCATGCATTTATACTCAGTTCTAGATTTTTTAAACAAAAGATAATTTGTTTTCATTTTTTCCTTTGGTTACTGACCCATGGAAGTAACATGTATATGGATTTCACATTCATTTCCAAGGAAATAGCAATGGAGATCAATGTTATAGCTGAAAATTAAGAACATTGCCCCATTAGTTATCTACAATGAAAAAGCGAAATATGTACTTATTCCATATCTTATATTATTCTTACATTCAACCACTTAAAGAATAGACATTTAGTATTACATCAGTCAAATACCCACCATATTTCTCCTTCCAGTGGGATTATATATAATAAATAAGAGTTTTGTGTAAAGGATACTTGAACCCAATGACAAGGCTCAGACATCTAGATAAGGTTGAACATACTTCTTTGTTCAAGACACATTTGATGAAGTTTATCATTTATATCTGTAGTTCATCATATTTCAGTGGCATCTTTTGTGCATAGAGAAACTGCTGTTTGACAAGTGGAAAGCAAAATATTCCTCTCTATTTTTCATTCCATTAATTTCAATCTGAAGATAAAGAATCAGTATCATGATGTTATAAATGAACTTCCTCCAAAATATTGAAATAAGCAAACAGAATTAATTATGACTACTACTGCTTAGGATTCTTGACCCTGGATAGATAATCCAATTTGTTTTCTTAAAAGTAAGACACATTCAAATAACCTTATTAGTGAACAATACAGGAAACTTACACAAAAAAGCCAAAATACCATTCCATTTTCACAGAAAGAATTATGTGATCAAATGTCAATGATAAAACTTTATAAAGGAGAAACAAATATCAATCTTTTCCAGAACCTTGGAGATAATTAATAATAAGTGAATTAAAAGGGTCACGTAACAAAATGTTCTAGGTATCAAAACTATGGAGCCATTTATATATGAAAATGAAGTGTGATTTGATAATTGTCTCAAAAGCAATCTCCCAGACAGCTGTAGGCAATGCAAAGCAAGTGGTATTGCCAATGGGTCTCCTTTTCTTTCTCTTGTCTCTTACTTTTCCTTGCCTCAAATATGTTTTAACCATACAGCTCAAGTTAACATTTTGTTTTTATGATTTAGAATCTCCAATTTTTCTTTTGATGCTACTTTTTACAATATTTGAAATAATGCAGTTACCTTTAGAAATATTATTTTTATGCTACATATGTTCAAAACCCATTATCTCTATTAGTGGCTGGGTTTTCAGGAATTTTGGATTCAATTAAAATGGTGATAATTATTACTAACATTTGTGACGGGTTTTGTTGACAGGTCATTTCAGTATGGGTGGTTTCAATGGCCACTTCTACATTTTTTTGTGGTTTACTTTTAAAATTTTTTTCTGGTTTGACAGTGTTCCATGTTTGTATGATGAATTTTAGTCATTTTCACCCCATCTGCCTCTCTCATCTGTCTCCCTCTCCTCCTGGACAGTTCTTCTCCACATCCTACTTCCATGTCTTCTTCTGTGTGACTCACAAATGTAATTAGATTTTCTTGTCCAAATGTGAGTGAAAGGCTACTTTTATTTTTGAAGGGAGTGGAGGCAGTTCATCTGTATTTGCACCAATAAAGACAAGGACATCATCTGCCACATCAATAAAGACAATGACATCACCTGCCCAAACAAGTACTAGTTATCAACAAACTCTCAGGGAGGTGGAATAAGTGCACGAGGTGAGTAGTTTCAAACATGGTCAAAGAATGTTACTTTTAAAATGAAAGAGCAAATATTTCATTTTCATGATTCAAGTACCAATTTTTAGACTTTGATGTTCTTGAAAACTACCCATAATGTAGATTTAAACAGAGAATCAAGGCATCATCCAGCCTTGGCATCTCTACCAGGAAGATCTGAGTTTTTACTTATTCCAGGAGATGCCAAAGCTTTCACTTTGAGTTCCATATTTGTTACATTGTTGATTTGTAATACTAAATTTAAAATTAATAAATTAAAATGTTAAATTTTAAGTGTAAAATTAATATTAAAATATGGCCAAGGATGAAATAATGGCAGAGAAAACAAAGCTTGTAAAATGTTAGGCCACGTTCTAGTAGGACAAACCTGCACACTCAAAATTATGCTCTAATATTTTCTCATTAATCCCATTTTAAATAACTTGTGACTGACTTGAAAAGAATAATTTTACATGCCAACTGGAACAAAAGAAAAGATATCAAAAAAAGGTTTTATGAAAGTTCATCATTTGCTAAATGCTAAAATGTTACTTGGTCTAATCTTACGCAATTCTTATATGGACAATGACAGCTGATGTGAGTTCATGAGTGTAGTGGTTCTCTCTTGTCTCAAAGATGCTGTTTTTTTTGTCAGTCATTCTGAACTTACAATCTCTGGCCTTTGGGGAGGGGGTGTGATACAGATGCTCAATTGTGTCTGTGTAATACACAGTCACTTATTTGCTATTCTTTAGCCAGTTCTGAGTTTCTACATTAACCAACATCTACTGTACAAAAAAATTTCTTTGATGAGATCTGAGAGCTGCACTACATGCAGGTAGAGAGATGTAAATTTGGAGGGTAGTTCGATACTCTGTCCAAAGTCATCACTGTTATTTCTTCTACCTCTTCCCTCTCATATGGCACCATGATAATTTCAATTTTTATAAGAGATACAAAACACAGGTAGAAATGTTAACAGACCAGAAAAGAGATACATCTGCTGAGCCAAATTTATTGTTATAAATAGCATTTTCAAAAAGACGGTTTTTAAAATTTCACACACTTAGCATGTGACAAAGTCTAGTGCATTTGTGATAGCACAGTGGTACCATTAGTTTGTCTTTACTAGAATAAATTTGAGTAATGTTTGTTGAGCACCAATGTATTACTTTTTTTTCTAAAAATGTTCCTTTCATTAGCTGATTGTTGGTAACTTTTATCCATTCTATTCCATTTCTCCCTCTTCTTCAGAAGTGGTGGCCTTGGATATGATGAAATGTAATGCTAGTTATCCTATATAGCTAGAAGATAGGAGATGCACACATTATTAAAACATTACATTTCCACAGAAATTGGTTAAATCCAACAATAATTTCCATCCATAGAACTCCTTATATTGGTATTATCTCTTCCTTTTACAATTTAAATAGTGCTCAGAAATATAAGTCCCACAAAACAAGGCATTGCTTAGATCTTAGGTTTTGAGTAATTCTTTGTACTAAGTTTTATCTGTAGTTTCCATTCTGTCTATTTGCCTGAATTTCAGTTCCATGGTTTCCCATAGCAAAAAGTAGAACACTCATTTATTTTTAAGATATATATTTTATTAATAAATAAACAAAACTAAGAATTATGTACATTTATATAAAGAGTTGTGAAAT